GATCTCCTTATCAGAAAAGTAGGAAGGACTGTGTAAAAAAAGAGAAGGCTTGAATAGACCAAATCATTATTAAGGAAAAAAAAAAACTTTTTTTTTGAACATTTCAAGAAGGAAGAACAGAAAAATCAGAATCTTGCAGCAGTCTAAAACACGTGTGTGTCTAAATTGCAGAGGAGAAATGGTGGTGTAGCCCATGGAGGCCTCCTCTCCCGCAGCCTCCTCGCTTCTTGCCTTTAGGAGTGCGTGTTGGGTTGGGCATGTTCTCCGCTGCACTGAAAGCAAATGTGCTTTAAAACTGCACAGCTCTTAAAAAAAAAAAAAAAAACAAATGAATTGACTAATCAGCCTAGAACGTAACTAAAATAAATGATTTAATAGCAGCTGCTGGAAGCTTTTTGCAAAGTATGTATTTTCTTATGACAGTTCTTTGGACTAACGAGGAATAAATATTTACCATTCTGAAGATTTCTTCTTACAAGTATCTGGCGCAAGGAGAAGACAGGTATCATGAGCAAGTATTTCCTGRTTTCAGAAACATTCTGCTCCACATTGCTGATTGCCTTTGTTTCCTTGAAAACAAATGTAATTTTTCTTTTCTCCTGCCAATCCTGTTTGTGAATGTGAAGCTATTCTGTATGTATTCCCTATTCTGTATCTTATAAATCTATATGGAGAAAATGTCAGGGTTTCCCCCTGCAAACACTCTGTGTTGCCAGTGTAATATTATGGGCACACTTGCGCACTTCTGCAGTGTCTTATAGGAGAAAGGCAACGTCAAGCTTTGTGCGGTATGAGCGAATATAAGTGACAAAAGATTCAGCACTGTCAAGTTCTGTAAACAAATCACTCCAGGGAAGTAACATTAACACATAATTGTATGTTTTTATCATGTCAGACCTGCCACAAAAAATAACTTGAGTTGTGATTACAGTAATTAATTGTTCGGCTGCCATTTGAAACACGCAAACTTATTATTGCAATGAGGATGATACATTCGGGCCAGCCATTTTAGTGCATCATATATGTACATTTCTACATGAATTACTTTTTTTTAAGATGTTAATGGGATGAGAGCTATGTATAAATATATATCTTTACGTATACTCACTATATCTATACTAAGACCCCAAGGTCTCAAGAAACAAAACAAAAAACAAAAAAAGGGGTAAGAATATGCAAGAACAAGGAAACAAAACAGAGCTGCAACTCAAAAGGAACAGGATGTATGTATGCAGATATTGACCTTTTTCTTTTCTTCCCAAAATCAGGCAGTTCTGGAAATCGCAGTGCCGGAAAACTGCCTGGTGAGGTATATTCCCAGTTTCCAAAGCGAGTAGGAAACGTTTTTTGTTTGGTTTTCCTGCCTTGTGTCGCAGCGCACGAGCTCAGTGCGCCGGCACATCTTGGTTTCATTATTTCTTTATTAGCGCTGCGTCCCGGCCGAGCGGGTGGCTGAGCTGCCCGGGCCCGGCCATTCCTGCTGCTTCCGAGCCCAAGGGCTCCGGACCGCCCCACAGCTCAAAGGAGAAGCAGGACACAAAACCCATGGGAGAAGAGCCAAGGTGCCGGGTGCGACTGCGGTGTTAGGAGGCTCTGCTGTCGGGAGCTGCTTTAGGTGCGTTCGTACGCGGCCATTTTAGGCCGGAGCCCACGAGGCTCCTCCCGGCTTGTCACATTCTCCCTCGGATCTCCTATTCTTGCCTGCCTTATCCCATCCGACAGCAGAATTGATACCGCGCTAATCCCTGGAAGTTTGGAACTAATGAACTAACTGCTGGGCTGCCGCCACGGAGCTTGGTCCCAAACTATACTGTACTTCACACTCGATTTATTCTCCAGATGGCGAGACTGTGCAGCCCCGCCGCGAGGGACCACCTCTTCCACTGGAGTGTAAAAGTGGACGGATGTTGTTTTCTTTGCAGATCTGATAATGCAGCGCTAGAAACTTGTGAGGATTAGTTATTAGCCTTAACGGGTGCCAATCGAGCCGGCCTCGTCCTGGCTCCTGTCTTTAATTCCGGGGTCTGTGCGGGGCCTCGCTGGAGGTGGACTCGTCCGCGATGCTGCGTCACCGCAGCTCTTCTCTCCTGCAGTGGCCGTCGCTGGACGGGGCAGTGAAAATCTGCCCGGGTCCTCCTCACCGTCAAGCAGAACCAGCGCAGAAGTAGCCCCGTTGACCAGTGTGGTGACGTTTAAATAGCCCCAGAATGGGTTTTCCAGCAAAAGCTGCCAACTGGATGCATTTTATTAATATCGCTGCTTACCATAGAAGTTGTCTGTTGTCATTTTAATTTCTCAGTTTAATAACCTCCATGGAAGACTATTAAGGAAGGTTCCTCCCATGGAAGCCGAGCATTACTTGGGGTACAATAATCCCAAGATACTTTGGGATGGAGTAATGTATTTATATTTAATGATTAGGTTGATTTCTCTATCGCCTATTTGTTCATGGCAGAGTCCTGTCTGGTGGTGTAGTTCTCTTGGGAAGAGCACAATAAATCATTCCTCTCACTGCTTTTTAAAATCCCCAGCTTGGCCGTTCTTGGCAGGGTGTTTGTATACAATTTGGGAAGTGTGTTCATTCTTAAATCTATCGCTATAAAAGCATTGCTGTATCATGACCATTTTTTTTCTCTGCTATTATTTAAAGTAGTGTAGGTGGCTTTTGCAGGCACCACACAAAAAGAGTAGTACCYGCAATCCATTGCATAATGAGGCAGAAATGGCTTTCCATGTTTTTACATTTTCCARTTTACCCATGAAATGCTTTCTTGGAAACCTGTGTGAGGACCTGACGCTACCTCACAAACACCACAGAGATTTTCCCCCCTTTTTTTGGGATAGATGCAGGGTGAGACCTCTCTGGAGGTCTGGCTTTGAGCAACCAGGTCCTGACAGTTTGGCCCATGATTAAAAATGTGAATCGCTTCCAGATCTGGAACGCTGRTGATTCGAAGCATTTTGCCATGGGAGAGAGTTATTCACGTTCCTGGGATCTGTCGGCAGACAGATCTAGGCAGACAGACCTAAAATGTAGTAGTTCTAAGAAAACGCATCAATTCTCAACCCAACAGATGGCATGGGTGTGTTAACTAACATAGCAACATATTTTCTATTAAAATATGGGAAAAAAACAGCAACCCCCCTCCCCGTGCTTGTTGGTTGGTATAAATTCAGTGAAGTTGTTGGTTATTTTTGGGATACGTACCAGAGGGCTGCACATTTAGTTTATGTAAATTGATAACAGCAACAGCCTGTTAATAAGTGTTTTGTATGGAAATATACCTAGAAAGACACGATCTGTCTTTTTTGGGAAGGGAGTTTGCAGCCTGGGGAGGAAAATCTCAGCTACTGAGATGGTCTACTGCTCATTATTATAATCTGGAGGGGAAAAAAAAAAAAAAAAAAAAACATAATGAATTAGGTTGTGAGGAGTTTTCCAGGGATGCGCCTTCCGTGGGAATTGGATGCTGCCTTGGCGGATGATTTGGGGAGATCTTCATTCTGCAAATTGAATCAGCGTGTGCTGAAACTGCGATAATCTGACTTTAATTAGGAGCGTAGATTGGTTTGGAGAGGGGCGTTTTGAACAACTCCGCTGCACTAGCCCTGGAAACTTCGCGCCTAGCCCGGAGAGCCGGCGGCTCCTGCTCCGAGAAGGGCAGCGCAGGGCGCCCGTGTTGGCCACAAATGGCATCATAGGGTTTGTGTAATTCTGGAAAAGGCTCYGCTGGGAGCCTATGTTCTCCTCCTGTGGACTGTGGGGCGCATGTTCGAGGTCTGCCGAGGAGTGTGGCTGGCAGCACCAAGCCGATGGCGTGTACAGGGGCGTCCTCGGCGCCACATCACGGGCCGCCTCTGCCGCTCTCCCCGCAGCCGTCGGGGCCGCCTGCTTTAAACAGGCCACCACGTGCTGTCCCTCTGACTGCTGTGAGCCCGGGTATCGACTTTGAGGAGCTTTTTCCCTTCTTGTCCTCGGCTTCGCCCGCTGTCTCGACGGGCATCGCCGGTCAGCGGCTGCTTGTGGTTAAAGCCGCTCCGGAGCGGGCGCGCGCGAGCCAGGAGCTTTAAAGTTTTATTAGCGCCGTAAAAGCTCTTCACAAATGAAATGACTTTTGATAAGAGTTCGCTCTGACAATAGGGATTTGTTAGGGGCTGTTGGCGAGCACCGGGAATTTGGTTTTGAAACTGAAATTGGCCGGAAGTCGGGAGCCCAAGTGCTTTCCTTCCCCCTGCCCTCTTCTTCTGGAGGCTGATAAAAGTGTTTCGTGGCCGTAAAACATTTGAGTATCCTTAATGCTGATCAAGTATTAAGCAGATCTGTACGTTTACAGCCCAAGAAACTGTGATCGAATGGCAACAAGGTGCAAGTGGCTTTGGAGGTTGTGCCCTGTGTCACTAGGAGAGGATCTTTTTACAGGATTCAAGGGAAACCACAGGGTCCCTGGGTGTGCTCACGACAYGGGAGTCGCACACGCTGCTTTGGGCTTTCATGAGCTTCACACTTACAGAGGAAAAGGTGTTTGTAGCAAAACCGAGGCAATGAAGATGCATCTGTGCTCACCAAAATAATGTACGTGTTATTTCAGAATATACCAGAGAAAAATGAATTACAACAATCGTATATAAATGTATGATAACACATCACATAAAGATTGGTGTTTGCTGGACACCTTCAGTAACACTGGGCACACTGCTTGCCTTCTACAAGCGGCATTGAAGAAATACTTAGACCTGAAAGGTGAACATTTACCTAATAGCTATGAAGAAATGAGAAAGCTCACTCTGGGAGATGCTGATCATGAGTGGTGTGGAAAAAGACCAAGAGTGACAGACATTTTGGGGACAAAATATATAGCAGCTGTCTAGCTTTTTCCATCACCATTTTAGCAAGTTTTCTGCTCAGTGGACTTCTTTGTCAATAGAAAATAAATGTTCTCTTTCCTTCTTTCCTTTTTTTTCCTTCTTTCTTCCTGTCCTTTTAAATATATATATTGCAGAGAGAAGCAAGACTGGCAGTGGTGAAAACACTTGAAGAGTTTGACTTTGGCCACACGGAAAAATGCGTTCGGATAAACTCTGTGTCCAGTGGTTTGGCAGAACAAGATCTGGAGGTGCTTTTGCAGTCCGGGACTCTTCCTTCAAGCATCATGCTGCCAAAAGTTGAAAATGTTGACGAAATAAAATGGGTGAGTAGTTACCTGCTTTCCTACGTAGTATCTTTTGACAGAAGTGGCTGGGCCAAGAGGGCAGGCGTAGAGATTAATGACTCTGAGTTGAGAGAAGGTTGTATGAAGAAGGTTGTAAATACCATATGAAATGTAAATACCCATATGTTTGGGTAAGATAATTGGGGAACACATACATTTAAATGTGCCTGAGATGTGCTGTATGAAAAGCATATACGAAACACCTTGCATTTATGAAGAAAACTAGCTTTATTCCTTCCACAGTCAGTAAAGCAGCAATATGGATGGCCCAGTATATTATGAAAAACAGAAGCAAAGTCTTAGTATCCAGCTGTTTTCCAAATATTCTGAGATGCAAAAAGGGGTGTTTTAGTTACATGCCGGGCAATGGGGAAAACATGGTAGCAGCATATGAAAAAAATGGGTTGGGGGGAAGGTCACTCCTTGGGGCAACTGGAGGAACAAACAGGAAGCTTTTAACTAGTGGTTTTAATTAGCACAGATATTATTTCCTGAACAGTTCTCTATTTCTTCCTTTTTAATTGCTGACAGGTGTGTTTGTGTTTCATGAGTGACTTTTCAGCCAATAAAACCCTGAAATTTAAATGGTTGGCATGTCAAATTACTTAAGAAAACTTTGAAATGGGCCTAATTACGCCATAATTGTTTTAATTGTTAAGAAGGGGGGAGAGTTTGCATAGCGATACCGTTATTTGGGCAAAAAGGCAGTGACACATTAACGCCGAGTTATTCAGCATGATGTTTTTGGATAGAACATGGTTGGGGATTTTTGTGAGGAAGAACTTCTTCCCTGTGAGGGTGCCAGAGCCYTGGCACAGGCTGCCCAGGGAGGCTGTGGAGTCTCCTTCTCTGGAGATCTTCCCAACCTGCCTGGATGCTGCCCTGTGCCCCGTGCTCTGGGTGTCCCTGTTGGAGCAGGAGATTGGACTGGGTGATCTCTAGGGATCCCTTCCAACCTCAACCATCCTGTGATTCTGTGATAAATCCAGTAGCAGAGCCTCCCCGATGTGGGTGAGCTCACGAGGGGCGACACGTCCCCTCRTGCCGGCACTTAATTAAAAGTCTCATCCTGCTCGGGGTTTGTGGCCATGAAAGTGAGGCGCCCCTTGGCACGAGCGGCCCTCGGAGCTCCCAAAACGGCAGGGCCCTTATCGGGCACCGCGGGCGCTGCCCTCCCGTGGGGCGCGCGGTCCCGTAGGCCGCGTCCCGGGGGCGAAGCGGCCTCCCCGTCGCTCGGCCCGGGGTGATTGCCCCCAACACGGGCGCCCGCCGGCCTCTTCTCCCCGCCGGCGCCTCCTTGGCCGCGCGCGCCGCTCCTCTCGCCAAGCCGCCCTTCCGCCGCGCCGGGCGGCTCAAGCGCCGCGGAAAAGCTGGGCTTACTTGTTCCCTTTTGTGCGCCAATCTCTTGCTCGCCTTTTGTGCCCGGCGCGGGGACTTGTTTGACTGGCATGGCTTATTGGGCCGTAACAAGCGTGACCCGCGCGCCTTTGTGGCGGGACAATTCTCCCACAAATCCCGACCAGTGGCCATTCTTCCCCACACACTATTGGGTGTGCACGGGAATTGAAAGGAGCGCTGTGCCCCGCTACTCCGTCCCCTCCCCGCGCTTTGTTCGCCTCCCTCCGCCTTCCTTCCTCCTGCCTTTTTTTTTTCTTTTTCCCCTTTTTTTTTTTTTTCTGCTTTCACTCTCTTCTCCCTGAAATGAACACTTTACCGGGCCGGAAACATTTAATCGTCTCCTCCTTTTGAAAAAAAAAAAAGAAAAAAGAAAGAAGGAAAAATTAATTGAAACTTCTGCACTCGTTACCTTTTGTATGGGCGCTTGCTGCAGATTTTGTTCAAAGGGAGAGGAAGGGAGCCGGTATTTAATTACACCTTCTTTTCTTTCCCCGTGTTTACCTTCGGGACAAAAGATGCTAAAAATCGCAGGAGCGTGACTTTTTAAACAGCTTAAAATACATGGAGAGACGGGCTGCTTCACCTGGCACCTCTCGTGTAAACCGGGTAGATTTTTCTCTTTTTATCTAAGAAATAAAAATCAGCCTAAATACGAGAGCTGATGTGACGTGACCGCCTCCCCTCCTGTATTTGCTTGGAAGTACCTGGCACCCGGTGCAGCCGCACGTAGGAAGCACAGAGGTTTTCCCTGCACGCTCGTGGGTGCCCGTCTCTCTCTTCCCCCCAAGGAAAAGTTGGAGATTGGAACGCCGTTCTCGATGGCGGAAAGCTGTGATTTATTTGGGCCTAATTGTAAAGTTACTGCAAATTGCTCAAAAGCTTTTTAAAGATCCTCGTGATTAGATTTTTCCTTCTTTCGGGGAGGGGCCGTRGGGGAAGCTAAAAGGGGAAATAACACCTCTAATCCAGCTTCTGGTAAATAGGCTGCCAGCTTTTAAAATGAGTTTCCTTTCTATTAGTCAGAATATTATGCTAAGCCTTAAGCATTAGTTTTTTATGTTGCCATAGCAGCCTTATTCCTGCAGGGTTGTGACCTGCGATGATTACAGTACAAAGCTTATAGGGTCTTGAAACCCCCTTTGAAGATGAAAAGTCTTTGATGGTTTATATTTATGCAAATCTCTTAGATATGATTTACCCAACTGAGACTGAATGGAGAGATGATTAAAATTCCCCTTCCTTTGAGATCCATTAATAGTCGAATATTCCTTAAATTTAAAATATATGCATATGTTATTTTTGTCTTTATTTACGACAATGTCTTTGCCGTACCTGTGATGTGTTTATCTCCTTGCGAATTCCTAGATCTGGGCAGACATAATAGATATACAATATAGGGCTGGTTTTTTTTTTTTCTGCCCTTTTTTTTTTTTTACCCCCTTTTGAAAGAGGGAAAAAAAAAAATCAGTGCGAGAGCTTTTGTATGTTTCCAGATGATAGATTTTGGAATTTGGGCTACCCCACTGGCAGCTCAGAGCTAGCTGTGAACTGGTCTCATGGAAAAAATTGGAGAGCTTTGGTCTTCAAAGAACTAAACTTCCTTTTTAAGGCCTTCCTAGGTAAGCTAAAAACTTAGGAAGAAAAGCCTCCCGAACAAAGGGCAGCGGTGCCGTAATGAATCACACGGGTGCCACTTGGAGGGCCGCGGCGCACGGGCGCCGGTGTCGGTGCCGGCCCGAAACCAAACGGGGCGCCAGGTACCGCGGCGCTGCTCGGCGCCGGCCGCCACCGGGGTGCTGGGTGCCCGGCGCACGGCCCCAGCCTCTCCCCTTTTCCCTTGGGTTTTTGTTTAGTTTTGCTCTGCTTTTCCTAACCGAGCCTGGCAACTTCGGAACCGTTCCGCGGTGCTGCCACGTAGGCCTCCCAAGAGCCCAGCCTAAAAGCTGCTTTCCCTGCCTTGCCTTAATGATAAGCTGGGACGGGGAGGTGCGAGCAGGTGGAGGACGCGGTGCTGTCGGGGCACGTGGACCCTCGCGAATGATTTTTCTTTTTTTCCCTCCGATTGCTCACGCTGTCTCGTTTTAGTTTTCAGACAGGTTCTCCCACCACTTAAAGGGCCGGACACTTGTAGAACCAATGAATTTTATCCCTTTTGTGGAAACCGCACTGGGCTTGCTCAATTTTAAGGTAAGCAGCTCTTAATGGGGCTGAAGTGTTCATGCTTTATCATCRCAGCAATCTAAGATAAGTGAAATAGTCCATAGTGTCACAGCAACTACTTTAGAGAAGAGAGGTGGAAAAATAACAGGCGTTTTGTTTTCAGTCCCCTAAAACATTCACGTGCTTAATGCTCRTGTTTGTATTGCAAAGGCCTTCATAAATCCCAAATATTCCAGTGAAAGAACAGTTCAAAATAGTCCATGCCAAATAAAAAAGCCTCTCCACATCATTATGATGGTGATTTTTAACATCCTTCTAGTACAAACATGCTTCCAAAATGATTTGGGAAACTCACATTGCTGCAGCAGACGGGACTGCTTAACAACTATCAAAGTTGATTTTGTATTACTATGTCAAAAAAAAAAAAAAAAAAAAAAAAAAAAAAACTATTTCACTGTTCCTAAACTGGTGTCTTTATAATGATTTCTCCTGATAACATTTCAATCAAATTTCATGTTACAGCCTTTCACAAGAGCCTACGATGAAGGTTAACACTCAGATTCACTGCATAATTAAACTTTCCAAACACCACCTGTCCGAAGAGCGTGCTGCTTTTCAAGGCAGTTTGAGCTCAGATCGCAYGTTATACTGTTTTCCTGCTATTTCTTCTACACACACAAACACCTCCCGCTCTTCAGCATCGCCCCCCTGCTTTTCTTCTTGCTTCTCTCCACAAAAGCGAGCCGGGCTGAGGGGGAAAGGGGAGACGCCAGCGAGGCAGCCCCCCTGCCCTCCGCTCCCGGAGRAGCCGCGGAGCAGCGGGGCACATCGGGGCCACCAGGTCGACCCGGCGGCTCGGGGGCCACCAGCCGGGCAGCCCCTTGCCCTGCGCCCCACGTTGCTGCCTCCCGCCCCTCGCACAGCCCTGCCACGCAAACCTGCTCCTGCCCGGGCTGCACTCGCCCGCATAAATCCATTCAATTCCATTTGAAGCAGTCTGACCATTCTTTTTTTTCCCGTGGAAGTTTTAATATTGCAGCTCTCGACGCTGGCAGGAGAGGTGCCTTTTAAAGGGGTCTGTTTTATAATAATTCCTTACCCCGATAGCCACCATAGACGAGCACCCACTAGCAGAGTTTGGGATTACATCTGACGCTCCCATACATACATACATACATCCTGAGACATCCTTAAAATAATAAGGTTAGTCAAATATTGATACACAATTGTAGTAATTTGGAAATGCACTTCCAAATAACTGCAGTAGCAAAATTTTCCTTGCTTTTACTTTAATACTTTTCTGCAGTTACTTGTTGCATTTTTAACTTTCTTAGCTATTTTTTAGTTATATGTAACAAAAGGCTTTAAACCGGCCATCAATCCAATAAGGAATCCTCAGCCATTTAATAAAAGATATTATTTATTTACCAAAAGATTTTTTTTTGTGCAATGCTGTTAAGTGCTTAATCAAATTTAAKAATTTTTGATTGCTTTTAGGCAATGCTTGACAAGCGTTTAGTTCCGTGTTGCTACATAAATAGCCCAAGTACCATAAATACCATAATACCTGGGGCATTATGGAAAGCTTCTGCTATAAGGTAGGGAACTGAGGATGGTGTCCTATAGCTACACACATACATGTAGGCATGTGTATGCACTTAGCCAAACATAATTTCTATTTGCTGAGTCATTTTAAAGCACCGCACGCTGCAAACACCTGCAACAGCTTTGCTTAGTGGAAGCAATTTTAGCCAAAGTATTTCCAAATTTTAGCAATGACGAGCCGAGGTAGCAGCCCTTAGCCCCCGTGCTCCCTGCATTCCTGCAGAAATTAATGCTGTGTTCTCGTTTGAAGGCTGTCTGCGAAGAGGCACTGAGAGCAGGCTCCCGAGCTGGCTTTCGTTTGGACGCGGTCGTCTTTGGAGGAGAGGATTTCCGTGCCAGCATAGGTAGTTGCCTCCCTGTTTATTGTAAATGCTCCAGAACGACACTGGAAAAACCTCGTGGGATTTATCCACCTTTTCTGACAGCAATAGTTAAAGGAAAGCAGACATTTGATGCGGCATTTTATATTGCTTTTATTTTCCTCCATGTTTTTTTTCCAGTGCAGAATGTATTGTGGAGATATGAAAATGTGGTCCCTGTACGTGACAGGACACTGACACTTCCTTGAAATTCTTGCTCTGCAGCAATGAAGATTAAGTAAAACAAAGCAAAACCTGTYGAGTCACTGACATTTTTTAAAAATGTAATACCCATAAGAAGCATGCACATACCTTTAAGAACAGCATTTAAAGTCCTAAAATCCTGCTCTCTCTTTTATCATCACTTTACAGTCAATTTTAATACAGGATTTTGACATCATACTCAGCAAATCTGTTATATTTTGCTTTTATAAATTTACACTATGCATGTCCCTTGTCAATACAGTCATCTCTGCCATGGATTTATGTTAAAGCCCTATTACTCCTCCTCAGAAATGAAAAGCATTTCAAAATATGCATTATAGATGGCCATTAGCTTATTAATCTGATTCAGTTAAAGACCATAGTGCAGACCTGCCAATGTATAAATTAAAGATGTTAACGTAAAAATTAATATCGATTGACTATATGTTTCCTTGCAAATTGGAAATCTGGGTTGAGGGAGTGCATAGTTATTTTTTCACACCAGCCTTCATGTGTGAATGTTGCTTAGCTGGTGAAGTGCAAGCACATGAAGTCTCAGGAATACTTTTGGTGGTTCTTGGAAGGCATCTACCATCATTTCTCATCCAAATGTTGAAGCTTAAATATTCAGCTTAGGACATCAGTTGTGACAAGAATCACAACCAAGGAAAGTGCAATTCTGTTCTCAGTGTGAATTTTTTAACCATTTATTTGTACCCAGTGTGCCAATTTGTATTAAGCCCCTCGTGCTGTAAYGCGTTTCGGTGCACCCACAGCAAATAGCACAACTGAATAATTACTTCAGGTGAGTCCCACCTCRACCCTCCTTGCCGAGCAAAACTTCCACTGACTTGTTCCTGATCTGAACCAAATCAAAGCCTGAATTTTATCAGCCAGTGTGTAAAGGGAGCGTTTTATTGCTAAAGAAGCTTATCCTTGGCTCCAAAGACCCTTATTTTGGCAACACTGCCTTGCATCCCTCTTTTGCTTCCTGAACTGAGTGAAATCTGAAATGTATTTTTAATAAGAAATGTTACGAATCGAAAGGTTTAAAGCAATGTTGCCGTCCTTTCCTTGTTTTCCTTGTTTTCACAGGCGCAACAAGCAGTAAGGAAACTCACGATATTCTGTATGCCAGGCAAAAAATCATAGTAACAGCCAAGGCCTTTGGCCTGCAAGCTGTAGACCTCGTCTACATCGATTTCCGGGACGAGGACGGGCTCCGCAAGCAATCCAGGGAAGGCGCCTCCATGGGATTCACGGGTAGGGATTCCTGCCCCTGTCCCTAAACACTGCACATCCTCTCCTGTTGAAATGTGCCGCTGCATTTACTGTTGCTTAGACAAATAACTCGGCTGGTTTATTTCAGGTCATTTATTGAAAAGCTTAMGTAGTGCCAAATGTGTCTACATTTATTAGCGCCTTTAAAACTGCAGCCTGGAAATTTTTACCTGCAGAATCACAAGCTGCTTTTTAAAATCACAGCCCAGCAAGCGCACGGCCGTTTTCCAAGGAGAATCTGGGGTAGGGGATGGGCACTGCGTGCTTCCTCCAAACACAGAGCATGGCACACGCCATCCGATCGGTCCGCAAGTGCCTCTTAAAATATATTGATCCCCCTTTTGTATTTTTAAACACAGCTGTTAAAAAAAAGAAAGTACATTTTAGGTGAAGGAGCTGATAAGCAACTGCTGCATACTAATTGCTGCGGGAAAGTTATTCTCTTATTATTTTCTTTGATTTGTTTTTCATCTCCTGGCTCCCCTCCCAGTAAGTGCTGGTGACACCTACGGGTATTGGCAGACAGCAAGAGCAGCAGGCTCCTTGCAGCAGAGTCCTGTAATGCAGCCTGTTACCCTGTGATTGGTGCAGCAGATCACTCAGACACCCCGAGGAGACCGTGCAGCCACCAAAGATTGTGTTTTTGCAATAGAAATCAGCCATTTGACACGTGCACTATAGAATGCGAGGATATAGCGCTAACATTTTAGATTATTGGTCTGCTGACATTTTAGATTATCGGTTTCTGACCAGCATTCAAGGCATATTTCAGGGCAACAGGATATTTCCTAGGATTTTATGATCCAAGGAGTATGTCCCGATGACGTGAGCTAACAGAATGTATTTTTCCAGTTAAGAGCATGTAGTATCTGGAAGCAGCAAGCAGAGTAATCCAAAAAACCCCAAGCATTCTGGTAAGTGTGTGGGGCACGACAGCCAGAGATGGGCAGCGCGTTCTCCCCAGCTCAAACTCTGCCTTGTTGTCCGCTCAACTTCAGCATTTGCAAAGCCACCCCTCGTTTCAGAGGTAAAAGTGTTCGCTCCTCACAGCCCCTGAGTATTAGATATCTATTACATAGATTCCCACCCTTGATCCTCCTGCTAGTGAAGCCAGGAAAATAATAGAGCTCCCAAATGGTAAAACCTGCCGACGGCTACGTAATCCGGAGCAGGATTTTCTGGTTTAAGGGGGGCTTGATTTTTGAAAAACTTAAGCACCTGAACCTCCTGTTGACAGAAGATGGAGCTGCAGATGCCAGGCACCTTTGAGAGCACTCTGACTGACTGCTCGACGTGTCCTTAAATCCTGGACCCAGGCTAGAACATTCAGAAAACGCTAACCTTAAAGCAACACCGATGGCGCTTTGGGCTCCATATAGTCCACGTATAGGACACCCTCGGACACCAGGACAGGCCCCCGAGAGGTGACAAAGAGAAGGGCCCCTCCTGGCAGCGCGGGGCAGGAGGTTAATCTCCGAGCCAGGCGCAGGGGCGGCCGGCGGTTCCGCGGGAGCAGCCGGACGCGCGCAAGGTGCAGGCTCCATAGGCGGGAATTCCCAGCGCCTGCCTTTCCACAGCTATCCCCAGCGCGCCTCAAAGCGCAGCGAGCCGCCCGGCAGCCGCTCCAGCCGGAATTAGGCGTGGGGCAAYGCTCACTTCACTGATTCAGCAGCCAGAAGGGAGCGGGAAAAAAAAGGGAAGAAAAAAAATCATAAAAAAATCTGTTCATGTCAAAACAAAACAGATTTTTTTTCATACTTTTGGTAAAAAAAAATATATTTGAGGTCAATCCAGAATATTTCATTCGTTTGTTTCTTTTGCCTTCATTTTTAAAATATTTTTATAATCTTTGCTGGTTTTGTTTAAAAGAATATATTTCCAAACTAAAATTTTTGTTCCAAACGAAACATGTCAGCATTTCCCATTTAATATTCATCACAGAAAATTACAAATGGGTTTCAGCTTAATCTGTGACCTACAAAGCAGAAGTCTGCAGAGCATATTTGCCACTGACAACTGCCTGATAATGTGATAATAAAATACTGAAATGTTGCCTTAACAAGAAGTTCCAAACATATGATTCCTGTTATTTTTCAATATTGAAGATCACATCCTGCGATTTTTTCACATATCATTAGGATCATTGAAACCAACAGGACAARAATGAGTTGAGGCTTTCAAATTGATCTGTTAACTGGCAAACCGCACACTTCTTTGCCTGCAAAGAGGGCAAATTTTGCACCCTGAAAACGGATGCAATTCATAATACTCAGCAAAGTCCTACGGTCTTAAAATTTTCCTGTATTTAGATTTAGACCACTGGAGTTAGACTTAATGTAATCAAATATGCTTCCTGTTAGAAAAGTTAAATAATATAACRAAGAGTTTGCCATTTATTTAGTTACTATTATGTCCCTCACTGCTTATTGTAGCATTTTTTTCCTTCCAGCTATCTTATAAATAGCCTGCTGTTTCTTCAGTAAGTGTGTTTCATATATCAGAATGTTTTCAAATGTAATTTAGCCCAGGCAATATACTTTTTTTTAATGTATAAATTAATAAAATATACATATGCACCTGTATATAGACATATATACCCACATACAGCAAGATGCCTAACAATGCCATAGCGCGGCACGGAGTTCCAGTCTGTGTGTTGCCTGTATAAATGGTCATCAGCTTCAGGAATGTTTGTATAAAAATTAAGTAAACCTCAGACTAAGCTTTAACAGCTGACTTAGTCATTATAGAAAGTCCTGAGCTCCATGCTGAGAAGCCCGATATAAATATGAAACGCTATAGGTTTCCTCTCTTTTTGCAGGCTTTTGTAGCAGACTAAAATGACACCATCATACACCTAAAAGACTTGACAGGTATTGATTTAAAGCACGATATATCAAGTGGTACTGTAAAAAGGATTTCATGGTCATAAATTTTAATGTCTTCCAATTTTGCACTCGCTCAGTAACTTGTCAATAACAACAATTCCATTTAAAATATTTGCCTCATTCCTGCATGGCATTACGTCTATTATACACTTATTTGGATACATAATCTGTGACAAAAATCAACCGAGTGCTATAAATCAAACGTTAGATTGCTTTCTGCAAGCTGCTCATGAAGGTTTTAACGATGCAAAGTGCAGCTTGTTACTGCAAGCACCTTTGTGAAAAGAAAACATTATTACAGAAATGTTTTACACTTAAGAAAATCATAATAAAATACGTATTATTAAAAATTAAAGCATAGTAAGATAATTATTTTTATTTTTGTTACAGAGAGGTTTTCAGGATAATTTCAAATATACCCTACATTTTTCCCAGAAAATTAAACTTTGTAGGATTTTGTAGGAGTTAGTTCCGCACTCTTCAATTTTAGAATKAGTAGTGCAGCCGGGAGGAGCGGGTCATATTAAAAATAAGGAATAGCAGCATTTGGTTAAATTGTCTAAAACACCTTTGACTGGAACTAATGCAAACCCTGCTAGTTTAAGAAATTTGTCTCCCTAGCATTTCTTTCAAATGATGCAGTTCTTAATGAATTTAAAACTTCTAACTATATTTTAAACATTTTTTTTAATATTTAATATTTAATATTTCCCTTAATGAAACGTGACACTGAAAATTTGGATGGCCTAAAGATTGTAAACAAAAGATTGTAGAATGGGGAATAAAATAAAAGGGACCTCTTTAGGCCATTTTCACTGTAGAAAGGCAATAACAGTGAGCAGTAACTAGTGCCCTGTGTGCCTGGGCTGAGCAGCCTGTGCCGGCATAGCCAGGATTTTTGTTTGTCCTCCACATTCCCGGTTCTGCGGCATGGAGGTTGCACTTTTGGCAACTGGAAGCGCGCTCTGTGGACACCGTTTTATATAAAATTGATGCTTTTCCGTGGCTATGCCACACRAGGCGGCGGGACGGGGCTCGCCGTGCCCCTCTCTGCCGCGGGATGCCAGTAAGAAAAAGGCAATATCTGTTTGTATTTTGTCATTCATATTTGTACAAGAAAGCTTAGGGAGGCGCTCAATAAAACCCCAAGATCCCCCTGATAACTGTTTCCCACACCTGTAACTAAGCAAACCCGGCACCGCACCTGCAGCAGCCGGCTGGTGCTGCAGCAAACACGGATGGACCCACGGCATCTGATCCCACTAAGCTTGCACTTGTAGGGAATTGCACTTTAATTTAGGGAATGATCCTTACGCTGCTGTTAACTTTTCAGTTCAACAAACATCTCGCGATCAGCTCCGTTTCCTGCGTATACTTTATTACAGCTTATTTATACATCTGGCTATACATCTAAGCTGCCGCGATGCTCTCTGCGTAGTTGTTCCTGGCCAAACCGTTGCACCTGAGACAACAACAACAAGACAACGTGTGGCCGGGAACGGGAGGGGAGGGAAGCATGGCGGGTTCGTTCAGATGAGGCTCAAGCAGCTCTGGCTCGAGAYATTTTTGTTCTTAAAAAAAATCTGGCAAAGGGCTAGCTGCCTGTTGTCCAGTTGGGAAAAAAAAAAAAAAGGAAAGAAAAAAAAAGTAAAACAATCAGTTAAATAGCAGAAAGTCTATGAGGCATATGAGAGCCTCAAGTGGTTGGAACATTTTGTTTGAACATCTGTTTGTCGATGCATGATTCTGGTGTTATTAATCTTCTTTGTAGGTAAGCAGGTGATTCACCCTAACCAAATTGCTGTTGTCCAGGAACAGTTCTCTCCAAGCCCTGAAAAAGTAAAGTGGGCACAAGAGCTGATTTCTGCTTTTGAAGAACATCAGCGATTAGGAAAGGTAAATATTTCCTTAATATCACATAGCGGAAAGCAGGTTTGAGTAATGTTTAAAATTGAGCAAGATCGATGGGGGCTGCTTGTGTGTGTGTTGTAAGGGTGCTGTAACTGAGAGCGGTGCTTGTGAAATCTGTAGCTGGCTGGAACAYGGACTGTGTATTTGTTATAGATGCAGCACGTCCCAGGATGGTCTCAAATAGAGGGGCTATCTTTCTCTCCCCCTGTTTTAACTTGCACTCTCCGAGTACATGTGTCTACCTGCGTCTCTCTGCAGCTTCAGTGAATTAAAACTGCTTCTCAATTATGTCGTAGAGTGCTGGTGAAGCTGTCAGATGAAAACATTTGCAATCAAAAGGCAGGTATCCTGGGAGAAGGCTCAAACTGCTTGGGCAGGCATCACTGATGGGAAGAGATAAGCAGAGGATTAGAAATCCTTGGGTTTCAGGAAAATTTCTGTATTGGTAAAATACCTCTCTTGGAGGGTTTGTTGCTGGAGCCGTCCCTACCAGCGAGCAAACTCGCTTTTGAGCAAAACTGTTTGCAGGCTCTTAATCATTAAAAATGGGAATGTTTTATGTGCATTTGTACCAATTGATGGACCTGGAATTTGGATAGAGCAGGAAGCAAATTAACGCTAGAATATGATTGTTCCTAATTTAGTGCATCATTGAGTCTCACGTTTCCTGCTCTGTGGGTTTCTGCTATGTAAATATTGCGGTGGTGATGCACAATCTGTCTCTACTTTGTGCCAGTAATACTTAAATTAGGGGTCGCCTGAAGGAAGATTTTATGCTAGTTGCGGCATTGTCAGTTAATTATCTTAAAGGTTATTTGCTATAATCCAGTTTGCCTCTTTTTGAAAGAAAAAAAAAAAAGTTGCAGCTAAATATGTTTTTCTCAGTTACAGCCAAAGCCGGGATAGTTAAAAAGCAGAGTCCCGGTGTCAGAATGGCGAGTGCAGGTAAACAGAAAGGGCTTACGTGTGTTTGTGAAGAATTTAAGTGGGGAGAAAAGCATATTCCGTAATGAAGTTTGGTATARAAGAGTGTGCTTAGGTTTTCTCTTTCTGCGGTGCCATACAAAGGTCTTCTGTGCATTTCTTTGCTTTCCGATGGGTAGTAACACGCTAGAATCACTGCTTCCCTGTTTTCCTGCACTTCTAATACCACAGATGTTTTTTATTATAAATTCTAAAAAAGGTCAAAGCAGAAATTGTGCTTTCATCTCAGGATAAAAGTGTTGCAAAGTATTTAGTCTGCCCTTTTCCATGCGAGGCGACCATATCCTGTCTACAGTATTTAGGTGTTTCTGTGATGTCCGTTACGATGATATTGGGGTGCCATCCCCAGCAGTTATTTCAGGTCACTAATATTCTGTTATATTTCTGCATCTCTTTGTTCCGTTGCCCCTTGATTTTTAAGCATAGTTGTCTTCATGAAAGTGATTTAGAGCGAAAATGTGTGACCGCTGTGTACGTTACCCCGACGTACAAAACTTGGACCTCTTACAAAAGGCATCATTATAAGCCTGGTGTCAGTGCAAATGTGTAGCTAGGTAGATGCAGAATGAGAAAAAGTCAAATGTCAGACCCTGCCAAATAGTGTTTATCACTTGCCTATCAATTCATCTGAATTTAATCTCAGAAATCTCATTTAAGAAATGCTCCTGTTGTTTAAACTACTGAGGAGCAGGGGCAAAACTGAACTGTAGTGCTAGTATCAAAAAAAAAAAAAAAAAAAAAGGAAAAAAAAAAACCTGAGGGCTGTATTAAATACTGTATTAAGCACGATTTAATATTTACGAATTCTGTATTAGGTGAGCATTATTCTTTGGGTTTGTTTTGATGCTTCTATTTTATTAGATTGTTTCTGGTATCGGCCCTTTTATGACTGTTCTTTCTTGTAATAAGAGCTTTTTAATTAGATTCGAAGCTTCTGCAGTTATTCACAAATACAGATTTGCTGGATGTTTGTGGTATTTCCTTTAACCCACCCGGTTGCACTATTCATATATTTTTGCATGTAGGGGTCTATCCGAACGAACAGTGTCGGCAGGTTCATCTGCGAGCCTTGGGATCTCACGTTCCTCCAGAGTGGCCGGGCTCCCGGGTATCTAAACGGGAAAAGCAGTTTTCTGTGCTGCGGTGCCCGCAAACTTCCTCACTGAGTTTGCATTTTGGTGCTGCAGATGTGTCAGTAAGAAGGGCCAGGGCAGGCTGATCACTGAGCTTTCTCCACAGCAAACATCTCACCRAGGGAGCCTCTTGCTCGGTGTGCTAGGGACACGCTAAAATGTGAGTAGCAACTTCCCCATCCCACCTCTAGAAAAGTGACACGTTTTATAAATCCTCGTGTCCCGGTGAACCAGCTCTCCTGCTTTCCTTTTTGTTATAYTAAAATGCACAAGTCCGTAAAACTGAAAATATAGCTGTGATTAACATGGYTCAGGCATGTTTCCACTAAGTTATTAATCAAAGCTAAAAGCCCGGAAAAAAATAAATTTGAGGGATCTGTGCGGCTGTTTGTACAGTAGATAAGTCACTGGTCTTATGTCTTTGGGATTGCAGATTGTTGTTAATTGGTGTCAAAGCTTGATCCCCTTAGTCAACAATATTTTATAATAAAATTAAATATTAGGCTGTTATAATTTATTGCAGATTGAGAGATACATTTATCATCATAATGTTTCTTTGACAGAAAGCAGAATCTGGCTACTTCATCTTGAAAACTAAAATGCTTTTAGACAGCACATCTTGAATCTGAGTACTGAAATGACTAAAAATGTGAGGTTGCATGGGATTTTAGATCCTGCATCAGTGTTCATACAGAAGCAAATCTGAGATTTTTCTAGCCTAAATTATTTGGGCTTACATTATGGAGATGGTCTTGTTTGGTATCTGTTTCTGTTTTATATCTGAAACCTAACTGGAAAATATCATTCCTAGAAAATGAACAGCCACTTTGCCATTTGTGACAATTAATAAACAAATTAAAAAAAAAAAAAAACTTAACTATATTATACAATTACTTACGAGAGCTAAATGCTCTAAAACATTGAGATGTAAAAATGAAAAATGTTAAAAGATATTGGTTTAGTATAATTTTGATATCTTTCCAGTAAAATTACATTACTACATGATGTGCTTCTCAAAATTAAATTCAGCATAAAGAAAGCAGGGGTAGCTGCTGGGAAAATCTAAAYATGAAATAAATGGCATAGTGTGCTCAAAAATGAAAAAGGAGGATAATAAACATTATTTTGGTAGTCTAAAACAGCTTCTGCTCTAAATATCTCAGGTATTTGCAGTGCATTAAATAGGGAAGTGATGTTATAGATCCAGATTATCTAAGTCCAGAGGCAGAGTTAAAGGGGTAGAGTTAGTGGGAAAAGCCACTAGCTTGTTGCAAGAAAAAAAAAATCACACTTTTGTTAACACATGCAAATACTCTTTACAGTGCAATTAATGTTGTATGAAACACACTGCTCTGTTTCCATCATCAATGCATTGGATACATGACTGTAATATCTTTTATATGGTGTTCGGGTTTACACAGGGCAGGAAACTAAAATATTGAGTGTCCGACTTGTAAATGCATCACATATGTTATTGTAACAGGATCTTCAGGAATTGTCAGCTTTTAAAATAATATTCAGGGGGAAGGGAGAGCGGCGGAGCAAAGTAAAAGGTTAATTCCGCACTTACATACAAATTTATAACTGCTTTACAAGAACCTGCACATTAAATGGGGGAGCTAAACACTGCCTCGGAAGTCAAGTGTCAGGTAAGGATATTAAGAGTTAAGCTAATTCATTCACAGTCCCCAGCTCTACGATCCATTGAATCCTCTCGATTCCAGGGGGCGAATATCCAGGGGAAGGAATATCTGTACACGCCGTATAGGATGTGCGAGGTCCTGGCAGGCCCTCGGCGTGTGTGTCTTGTCCTACAGCCTGTGCATCGTGCACCGTGTTCACGGCAGCCTAGGAATAATGCACACGCAGCCAAGAGATTCGCCGCACGGAACAGTTTCCTTCATGGACCTTCCTGGGGCTACAAAAATCCTAGGAATGCATTTATTTATACAGCATCTCCCCAACAAAGGGATGGAAATTTCCAGCAGCGGCTTCCCTTACAAGAGTCTTTGTTTAGGAGAAGCCAACACGAGCTACTGTATCTTGGAGACGATGGAGCCTTGTGCTTGGGCCGGCTCCAGCTGCCAGCCGGGCCAGCGTAAGATCCACACGCGGCCTCCTGGGAAGGCGCTGCGGCCTCCACAGGCCACTCCGGCCTCCATGGGCCGCTCCGGCCTCCGTGGGGCCGGCCCTCCTGCCCACGCACATCCCGTGGCTCCCAAGGGCTCGCGGGCGATCCCGGGGACCCCCGTGTCAACCCCTCGTGTCGGATCCGGCTGCGGATCCGGCGCCTTGTGGGAAGCGGCCGCGTTCGCCGCCTGTAGAGGCCGCGGGCCCAGGCTCGGGCGCATCTCTCGGCACMAACGGAGAGCACCGTGGGATTTAGTACAGGCCCCTATTACCTTTAAATATTTTTATCATTTTTAAATAATTACCGAGCACTTAGTGATAACGTATGTAAATAATAACCATTTATGTTTATTATTTACTTTTCAAGCGGCTATGTCAAATTTTAACGTGAAAACTGGCAGTCGATAGGGATAGAGAGCACCCACGTTGCCCTTAATCACCCACTGTGTCATTTATTATCTGCAAAAGGTTTTTAAAAGGGGGTCGGCGTCACGCGCGAAGGCTTTTCTTTCCAGGAGACCCATGTGGGGGCAAGTCTCGAGCGCCCACAGGGACACGAGGGACACGAGGGGGTCTCCCGCTAAGTGCCCCCGCGCACGCTGGCTCCTGCGCCGGCGCGAGGGTCCCGAGGGAGCTGTGCCACGCGGGGAGAGCACGGGACGGGTTTCCCCAACGCGGCGCCGCGAAGGCTCCTCAGAACCGCACGCAGAACCTCCTCTGCTTGCCAGGCACCCTCCC